CACCCAGCCCTCCCTGCCGCTGGCCGGGTCCCGGGCGTACCTGCAAGGGGCGGGGTCAGCGGCGGCCGAGCGTGCGGGCGGGGGGTGGGCGTCGCGTCTTACCAGAGGCCCTCCTGGCCCTCCCGCAGCAGCTCCAGCTCGTCCCCGCTCCTCACGGCCAGCGTGTCCGGGCCGCCCTTCTCGACGTCCGCCACCACCGTGCATCTACCCGGAGCCTGGGGGCACGGCAAGGGTCACGTCCACCACCGCGCCACTGCCGGCGGCCAGCAGGGCCTGCCTGTCCCCGCCACACACACGGGCCACGAGAGGGCCGCGCGCACTCGGCCCGGCAGAGTTTCCTGGAGATGACACGCCTACACTGGAAAGGCCTCAGCCGTGAGGGAGGCCACACCCCAGACTCGCCCAAAATCAAGCGAGTCCCGCCACTCAGCTCCTTGCTGGGCTCCAACGCCAGGGCCTTGGGCCGCGCCGTTCCCTCCTCCTGGGTGCCCCTCCTGTCTTCCATGCCACGTCTCTCCCGCGGCAGCCTACTGAACCCCCTGCCCGTCTTCCTTTCTTCCTGCCCAGCCTGCCACAGGCAGGCTCCTCTGTCCCCCTGGAACGGGGTAGCTTGTCTATGCTGTTCCTGCCGTCTCCCCTGAGCCTGGCACGTGTGGACGGCGTGCGGAGCAAGCTCTGATGGCGAAGCAGGGGCAGCTCAGCAGGGGTGTCCGCCATCTCCCAGGCTGTGTGGGGTGAGCGGGGGCGCGGCTGTCAGGGGCAGGCGGCGTGGGGGGGCGGAGGGCACCTGACTTTACGGCAGATGACCCGCCGGGGCCCCCTGAGTGGCCAGGATCACGCCCACACTGAGGACAAGAGCCCAACCCCTCTGCAGCCCTGTGCCCCCTGCCCGCCGGCCTGCTTCTGCCCCGGCATCACAGCCCCTGGCTCTGTGTCTCCCACGCCAACGGCCTCTGTGAGGGCTGCCTCCTTGGGACAGGCTGTGGGCCCGGGAGCTTCCTGCCCTTCCATGTTGGGCTTCCCTTCCAGAACCTCTGGACATCTCTACTCCAGCCACAGCCCTGGAGCTCGAGCCGGGCTCAGCAGAGCCCGCGGCAAGCCTCAGTGGTGTGGCCCTGGCCTTCGCACCCACATGCAGGCAGCTTCCTGGCTTCTGGTTATCCGAGCAGGACCTCCCAGAACCCAACTCCACATTCGAGACAGCCCAACTCTCTCAGGAAGCGAGACTGAGGTGGGGGCAGTTCCAGCACCCCTGACGTGAGAGGTCAGGGGCGTGGGCGGCTCCTCTGGGAAGGACGCCCCTGTGGGTGGGATGCAGGGGAGGCTGGAGAGGCCCAGGGAGGCTGGGTGGGCCCACGGGGTGCCCTGGCACCCAGAAATCAACCCGGCGAACATAGGGGCTCTTGAAACCGAGTGGGGGCATGGTGGCTGCACCCGAGACCAGGCCCAGGGATCTCCTGGCTCTGACCCCCACGGCAGCTGCCCCCCGCAAGTCAAGGGAGCCCGGCTCACCAGCGTCCTGGGGCCAGGCCCGCCGTCCTCCTCTGCGTCCGACGAGTTGACGGGCTCCTCGGCGCTCGACCAGCCTCCGTCGTCCTCGGGCGCCTCCAGGGAATGGGACGTTTTGCTCCAGCCTGAGAGCGGAATGGGCTCTGTGAGGACTCCTCACAGGCCGCCATCTGTCTGTGGGTGGCCCGGGTGGGGTCCACACGAGCCCCACAAACCCCGAGACGTGCGGCCAGGGCCCCGGCAGAGCTGCTATCTCCCCAGGCTCGAGGGAGCTTGGCAGACCCCACTGCAGGCCTCCAAGAGGTGACCTTTGCTGCTGCGTGGATGGGAGGCTCTACCCGGGGAAGAAGCGCATGCCCCGCCCTCCAGGGAGCTGCCCTCGTCTGCTGGCCCTGGCCAGGAGGGAGTCCTCACTGTGTGTGTCTCAGCCCCCCTGTGTGTCTCAGCCCACGACAAATGGCCTTCTGGGAGGGCTCTTTGTGATGCCACGGCCCCCCCCCCGCCAGACCCTCCTGGAAACCACTTCTCAGGACGCCCAAGGTCTTGGAGGGCCACATCCCTTGGCTGTGGGAGGAAGCGGGTGATGGCCTCCCTGGGTAGGGAGTGAATCAGGCGGGGACACCACGTCGCATCCGAGGCCTCCAGGCTCCCCGGCCGGGTGCCCTTCTGGACCCAAGACCACGCATGTCTCTTGGAAGAGCATCTCCTGCAGGGAGGCCTGGGGCCGTGCAGAGCTGGGACGGCGGGTCACAGTGCCCAGAAAACACCAAAGGCCAGTCGCCCGCGCACTCCTGCGCCACTGAGTCCAGCCGCCACCTGGTGCGAAGCAGCATTCAGCGGCAGCCGAGGCCAGGGGGACGGCCAGAGGCTCACGGACACGGCTCTGCCTGGCGCAGTGGAGGCGGGTCCGTGAGGGGAGGCAGGCGTGCTGGGAACGGAGGTGCCGGTGCACAAAGGGCGTGCGGGGAGTGGGCTGCCACGGGGAGGCATCGGGCCGGTGCCCACGTGGATAGTGACAGGCTTGCCCTGGGGAAGCCTCTGCTGTCCACATGGAGGAGGGAGCAGGGCCTTGTGTTCCCCACAGCCAGCAGGCGGCAGCGGCCACTGCAGGCAGCCCTATCCCAGGCCGAGGCTGGGGAACTGCCTGAACTTGGCGCTGCACCTCCCAGGGCCGAGCTACAGGCGGGGACAGCTGAGCCCCGGCCCTGGGCATCGCACAGGCCTGAGGCTGGCCAGGAGCTGAGTGGGGCCGAGACACAGCCCGGGATGGGGGGTCTGGGGCGGCAGAGGCGGCCTCCCACCCGAGCCCACCCTCTACAGGTCCTGGAGGCCCGGCCTCCACCCCACAGAACCGAGGTCTGAGGACAGGGAGAGCAAGCCTCCAGGACGCTGTGGGTGGGAGGAGGCAGGACCGGCCGCAGCCTCGTCCACAGCCTCGGCCTTGAGAGCTCCAGGGCGCGGCGAGAGACCCAGCAGCCCTGCCCCAGCACTGCCAGAGCAGAGAAGGGGCTCTGAGCCGCACAGCGCCCGCCCCAGGTGCCTGGTTCTGCCCAAAGTCTCTGCTGGCAGCAGCCCTGCTCCTGGGAAGGGGGAGGGGACGGCCCCCACACGCCACCTGCTGGCCTCCTCCAGGCCCTGCTGGGGCCACTGTCCCCTCTTTGGCAAGGAAATGGCTGCGTGCAGAGCCCGGCGTGGTCAAGCCGGAGGAGCAGCGCTGGCCGGCCGGGCCCAGTTGCCTTTGCGTCCTCCCCCCACGGGGAGTCACTCAGAGGACGGCGGGTAACGGCTCTTGGGCTGCAGGCCCTGGGAGAAGGGGTCGGGGCAGAGAAGGCCCTCCCAGGAGGCCGTCCCGGGGAACTGACGGAGCCGGGCCTGTCACGGGTAGAGCGCCAGGCGCCAGAGGACAGCAGCCCCCCGTGTGGGCTGCCCAGCCGCCCTGGGCCCCTGGTCTCCAGCAGGGAGCCGGACGCCCCCAGGAGCTACATGAAGGCACAGCTCTGTTTCACGCCAGCGTAGGCGACAGGCCTCAACCAGGATCCCGGGCTCAGGGCATCGTCCGGGGGTGGGTGGGATGGGGGAGCCAGTCCTGCTTATACCCTTGGGGACCTCTGCCTACTTTTGGGAATGGCAGGAAGGCTCAGGACGGAAAGTCGGCCTGGGCACCATGGTGAGAGCCCTTCTCCACAAAAGTAAAATCCAGAAACCGGAAAGCAGTGGGGTGTGGTGGCAGTGCCTGCAGTCCTACCTCTAGGGAGCATTGCCTGAGCCCAGGACTTCGAGGTTGCAGCGAGTTGTGACCGCGGCACTCGCTGGGGCCTGGGTGACAGTGAGACCCCGTCTCCAACCAACACACGACCCCTAGACCACGAAATCCTCTGCTGCACCTGCGAGCCAGAGCCGGGCGGGAGGTGTCTGGGCTTCCCGGGCGGCTTTTACTCCCGGGTACAAGGGAGGCAGGAGGTGAGAAGGACCGAGACCCAGTCCGGCGCCG